GGAAAGGAAAGAAAGAGAAAGGCTCAAAATACAAATGGGGAAAAATGCAAATTCAAAGTTAATAAATATTTAATAAACATCAATAAAATGTATCATGTCAACTCCATTAATTGGCATTCTTATTAATAAACATTTCATGCATTTATAAATAAATTTAAGTTAGTTTTCTCACTTTGTGGAAACTCTAAGAATGCACATGATTACTGAGAGATCACAGTAAATAAACTGCGTATTGGCAAATAAATTAAAAAGTAAAATTTTAAAAATATTACTTAAGAATTTTTAACAACAAAGAAAAAGTTTATTAGCTATGGAATGCATTTAATTTTTTTGCTTAATTTATTTTCCTTTTTATTGAATTTATTGGGGAAGCACTGCTTAACAAAAGCATGCGGGTTTCAGGTGCACAATTCTACAGCTCATCCTCTGCACACTGATTGTGAGCTCTGCTTTCTGCCTTGCTGCCTGCTAGGCTCAGTGACTGAAAGGGCCTCTGGCTGTAGCACTCCTCCGTCAGGCTAAGCTCCGCAGGGGGAGCCAGAGGGAGTCCAGAGGCTGGAGCTATTGCTTTCCCCCGGCTGAAGCCACACTAAGGGGAGTGCTCCACCCAAGAAAGATGGTGTCTGTGGTATGGTAGAATGACAGCACAGGGATCCTGGGGTTGTCCCTGTGGGTACCTTTCCAGGGTCACAAACGTCAGACTCTCCTCATGTGACTCTGGTCCACTTTGCCCTCCCTCTGCCAGAGCCCAGGGTGAGTGGCTGCTATTGACCTTTTGTGTGTTGGCCCTTTCAGAGGGCCTGTGTCTCTAGTGGACTCCTGCCTCTCCCTGGCAGACAGAAACCCCGCTGCTTTGCACAGCCAGGTGTTATGTGGGCGCTTCTTCTCAGCTCTGATGCTCAGGGCCAGGGAGCCCAGCTTGGGATTTAGACCCCAGGCTTCTCAGGGGAACCCCTGCAGCTGATATATCCCTCCAGAACCTCAGCCGCCGCCTATAGGGGCAAGAACAGCCTTCTTCATATCTCGGCCCTTCCCACTAGTTTTGATGTGGCTTCTTCCATAAATCCTTGGTTAAAAGACTTCTCTTCAGCCCATCTTCAGCTCGGTATTCAGGATGGTTGTCCTATATCATTTATTTGTAATTCCAGTTTGGTCCTAGGAGGAGGTGAGTGTAGCTTCCGTCTACAATGCCTCCCTCTTGGATCTCCTATGGGAGGCATTTTAGTATATTAGGTCTGATATAGAGATGGTACTCTAAAATTAATGGTGCCCTTTAGGGTATACTAAGGGGCCCTTTAGGGTATAAAATAGCCCTCCGAGCTCCAGAGAATTCCCAGTCCTCGAAAACCTGAGTGAATTGGGAAGACTGAGGATGTTGAATGCATATAAACACTGAACTCTGGTCTTAAACAATTCACTGAGAGAGTTTTTGATATAGAGCATCTAGAACAAGGGGAGTAGTAACTACCGAGAATTTTGTTGTTTTGTCAAACAACAAAAGAGCTGAGCCTCAACCAAATTCCCAAGGATCAGCTTAATGATTTTTCTGAGTTCCTTCTACTGGAAATGGGGGGAACAATGTAGGGTTACCACTGGCAGTGAGATCCTTCAACCTCCCTCAGTAGATCATTTCCAGGAGGGTGCACCATTAAGATACTAGAAACTACCCAACAGGAAGCAGCCAAGAAGAGTCTCTAGACCTAAACTGAGGAAGAATCACCAGAAATTTGGGGAGAGAACCTTCTGGCTGCTGGGCATTACATGGCTCATCCTGGATTGTGGCTGGGAGAAGCAGACTCCTGAGAAGGGAAGTCCTGACTCGGTGGAGTATAACTTCCCCTTCACATGCTGCCCGCCAAGCACACCACCAATTCAAGGCAAGGGGCATGTGAGGAAGAGAGTCCTCTGGAGCTCTGGCTATACATTCAGATCATTACACTGAACCCCATCTGTTATCAAAAGAACCTGGAGAAGCCAGATGGAAATTGTGTTCTCTTGGGCCTAATGGAGAAAGAAACTTTAGGGTATTGTTATATGTTTTCCTTTTTGTACTTACAACTTAGGTTGCTTAGTTAGTCTACTGATCACATGGTAGACAGACAACACACTTAACTGGCAATGAGAAAGGGAAAAAACTCAGGGAATCATGGGGTGATCTACTTTCACCTTTGTCATCTTCCCTGAGTCTGTAAAATCCCAAGGCATGTCCATTACTTGCCAAACTTTCTGGCTTAATCTTCCTGTTGGGAAGGAAACTGGGAAGGGAGGAAGGGAGGAAGGGAGGAAGGGAGGGAGGGAGGGAGGAAGGGAGGAAGGGAGGAAGGAAGGAAGGAAGGAAGGAAGGAAGGAAGGAAGGAAGGAAGGAAGGAAAATAGATCCATTTTTCCATATAGGACCTTTTCTTTCTTTCATCCATTAAAATGCAAGTTACCATTAAGTTGTTAAGCACAATGACCAATCCAATGAGGGCATATATTTTGATGATGTCAGTTAAATCTCCTTGTCTTGGAAACCCAATGAGATAAAAGAATTACAACTTGCATTCTGCTTTGGAGAAGAAGGAATAAAGAGGTGAAAAGTCATGAGAGGAACATGCAAGACTAGCAGATCCTCCTGTGTATTCTGAGTTCCCCAAAACCCAAGATGAGGGTCAGATACAAACTATAGCCACAACAGCAGAAGAAAGTAGTAAGTAAATTAACATACAACAGAATTCTGCTCTGCGCTTTGTTCTCTTTGCTCGTTGCTCTGTAAGTTGTTTGGATAAAAGACTTCTTAAGTAAAGTTTAGGTTACTTTTCCATTTTCTTACTTCAGCAGTTCTTTTAGAGTTTAGTAAACATTTGCCTGGGGTTGGGTTTAAATTGTAATGACAACTGTTTCCTGCCCTTCTTGAGTTTAAATAAAATTTCCTCATCTTAGTAAATACGGTGGGAGCTCTCCTATTGGAAGATGAGTTCACTTTGTACTGAAGGGGATTAATAAGTTATTTCTTCTAGAGCATTGATGTTCTGAAAGAGTTAAGGCCTCCTTTCATCAAAAATAGAAAGTACAAGAGTGAAAAGAAATCCATTTTGTTTTTAAAACAAAAAGTGAAAGGAAACAGCCAAATCAAGAGACTGCCCATTTCCCGCTGCACCGCCTTTTAAACGGGCCTGGCCATAGCCTGTGGTCTCCCTGCCGCTTTCCATTTGGCTGTCCCGCAGCTGTCCAAGCAGGGAGGCTAGAATTTCCTTGAATTGCTATGAAGCTATTTCATGAGTTCGAGTTGTTCTTTGCCGGCAAAGTCCAAAAACATGTTGATAAGGAGAGTCAAGTATAAAAAATAATGAAGTTTTAGCTCACCAGACTCTCAGTCTAGAAACTTGAGGGGTCACTTAACATTTGCGTGCTTTCATTTCATCATCAAAAAGCAACAATGTGGTGATCATCAACTAGTGTTTGACAATATTTTAGCCGAGAGTTTTCCTGCTGCTTCCCATAAATGGTGGGCTTCAAGGGCGGCTGTGTGCACATGCAGAATGAGTGTCCAGAGAGTGTACTGTTTTTATCAGATTCTGAAATGAACCCATGAGCCAAAAAAAGTTTAAAAAAAACAAAAGCTGCTCTAGGATCTTAGGGTGACAGAAGGAAGTGCAAAAATTAGCTCGCATTGGAGGAGTTTCAAATCTAATTAGGGAACCAAACTTAATGCGGCCAATTCAGTGGGAGAACCATATCAAAGAGCTTTGTTTCACGGTGTAGTCCGCAGGAGTTCAGGAAAAT